GAGTACGTCTTGGTTAACAGAACAGGGGCAATATTTACTTGAATTTGAGCAAGTAGTGTTATCTCTTGGCTTCTGCTTCTGTCTCTATAAAATGAAGATAATAGTGGTACTTATCTCACAACGCTGGGGTAACAATTCAGCGGTATTTTCTGTGTAAACAGCTTTGCACAGTACCTGGCAGAGAGAGAGAGGAAAGAGAGAGAGAGAGAGAGAGAGAGAGAGGAGCTGACTGAGTTACAGACTTCAATCGAATGATACAGTGAATAATTATGCAGCTTATCTTGGGTGAAATGCTTCCAAAACATACAGGAAAGGCACTGCTGTTTACCTCTTCCAAGGAGCAAGAGAAATTTATGGAAAATCGTTGGCATCTAAGTGACAATTCCAATAGTATGGAGCACAATTGTACATAGCAGAGACTATAGGAAGATGATTACTGGGTGGGGAGGGGCGCTCAGGGAGAAAAAATACCAGAGACTATAGGAAGATGATGGTTGGGGAGGCCTTCAGGGGAAAAAAAAACACACACAAACATTTAACAGACGTAAGAATGGAAAGTTATCTGCTGAAAATTATTCATATGGCAATATCTTTGACTTGATTGGCATCCACTGCGGGCATGCTTTGAACAACCGTATCATACACTATAAATCTGTACAATGATTTGATGTAAATAAGAAATCATATGATAAAAATAACTAAACAGGGACCAGCAGTTGGCATAATGGCTATGTCGCTGGATTCCCATGTAGTTGACCGAGGTTCGAGTCCCGGACCCGGTGGCTTAAAACTCAGGCCAGGCGCGTGTGCGTGCCCAAGATCCCAGAGAGGAGAACGGAGGAGAAGGGACTGCAGCGTGACCATCCGCCCTGGGGGGTGATTTCTCGCTTTCTGTCTGTCTGTCTCTTTGTCTTTCTGGCGAGCACATGCGCCCTATAGCAAAATCTCTCCAAAAAATCGCCAAAAAAGAAAAAAAAAAAAATTAAAAAGTAAACAAATATTTCTTTTTTAAAGTCACGATTTCTCTCAGCCCCGGGATGGTTCATACTTTGGGGTGGGAAGAGGCAAGGGGGCTCTTAAGTCCGGGCCAGAGTGGTGGGCTCTTCTTTGGAAGGACTACATAGGTATGTGCTCAGAACAGACCTCTTGGGGTCTAGGAAGGCATGGGATGTGCACGAAAATCTGCCCTGGTGACAATCTCCAGACTGTGAGGTCTAGGTGAGCTCGAGGTGCCTGGGATGGAGACGCAGGGTGCAAAAATGTGAGCGGGGTCGGTGGCAGCGCCCCCCACCCGCCAGCCCGGCTCCTCTGGGCCCCCGCGGCCTCGTGCGTCACCGACGCGGGCGGGGGCCGCGGGGA